GGGGGGGGGGGGGGGTGGGTGGAATGGGGAGTGGCTGCTAATGGGTATGGGGCCTCCTTTGGGGGTGATAAAAATTTGGGGGGACTAGAGATGTGATGGCTGCACGACATTGTGAATGTGCTAACTGCCACCGAATTGTGCACTTAAAGGGGTTGATTTTACGTCGTGAATTTTACCTCAATTTTTTAAAAAAGGTAAGGAAATTGTTGTTATAAAATTCAGGATGGTGGTTCTGTCTCCGGGTTTCTGGAAGCTTCCAGGAGCTGACATGTCCTATTTCTTAATGTAGGTGGTAGTTGCATGGGCATTTACTTTGTAATTGTGTTTCAAGAATTCTCAGGTCTGCGGGAGCACCTAATAAGTAAAAAAGAGAAGGGGTGAGGGGTCAGGGACCCTCACTCTGCTGCATTTGGAGGTGGGAGTCGGGTTGGGTTCCTGCAAAGTTCAAGCCCAGGGAATGTTTGCAAAGTGCTTGAAACCAGACACTGTCCCTGGACATGAAACCAGGTCCTCTGCTCTAGGTTATCATTGGGAGCATCTTCGAAGTCATCTGGGCCGTCATAAAACCCGGCACATCCTTTGGAATCAGCGTGTTACGAGCTCTCAGGTTATTGCGTATTTTCAAAGTCACAAAGTAAGTCTTTGAGGTTCCTTGACATCCTGACGGGGACAGGGATGGGGGGTGGGATGGAGCCACCTCCAGCATCATGCCTCAAGGGCTGACTCCCAGCTCCCGCTTCCCTGGCCTGTCCTGACCCCTCCACCCGGCCTGTGTCGGCAGGTACTGGGCATCTCTCAGAAACCTGGTCGTCTCTCTTCTCAACTCCATGAAATCCATCATCAGCCTGTTGTTTCTACTTTTCCTGTTCATCGNGGCAGCGTAGCCCAGCAATTCCACTGCTAGGGATGCATCTTAGAGAAACTCACACAGGTGCGTCAGAGACACCGGCAAGAATGTCCCTGTGTCTGGGAATGAAATTAGGGTTGTTAGCAAATTAAGTGGAGAATGCCCACCATGGGGCAGCCAGAATCACATGCTGTAATCCTATTGGCCTCAGAAAGATTTAATAATGTTTAATAACCCTGAATATAGTACTGATTTCTGCCCTGTTGTAGGAAATTCCATGTCATTAGAGGAAAAAACAAAATACATACAAACAAACAAAACTTGCCTATATAGACGACCCAAGTGTTTAAAGAATAAAACTGGGCTGGCTGGTTAGCTCAGTTGATTAGAGAGCAGTGTTGACAACACCAAGGTCAAGGGTTCAGATCTGCAAACTGGCCAGCCACCAAAAAAAAAAAAGAAGAAGAAAACTAATTTCTTTCCATTAAAAAAGAATGTCCTGAGAAGCCTTATATGTTATAGTCCCAAGCCCCAATGCCCAAGTATCTCTTTGCAGTAAAATGGATACATAAATCGTGGCATATCCATATTATGGAATATTCTGCAACAATGAAGGGCAACCAACAGCCACACCCAACAGAGACGAATCTCACCCACATAATGTGGCACAAAAGGAAGCAGATGCCAACAAAATGAGTTCATATAGCTCATGCAAAATTCAAACGGACAAAATTAAAGCATATTGTTTAGG